TCTCTGACAATATGGTTTACACACAACTATCCCAACTTAAACTCACAAATTCAAATTCACTTTTTTTTTTAAAGATCCAAAAGCCATTGCACAACTTGGAATTTTCAGGCAATATAGAATAGGAAATTAGGAATTAGGCATTAGGAAATTAGACATTAGAATAAAATAGATATTTGAGGGGTTTTTGTCTTCAGGAACCCCACAAACCAAAGATATACATATTTTATATAAAATTTTGTGCATGATCATAGAAAAGAGAGCACACTGTGACTAGTGCCATCACTGGCGTATGAACAGTGCATTGTGTAGGTAGAGAGGAAGAAAGGAGGAAGAGAGTGAAGCAAGCTTGAAGGATACTTGGCAGCTTCAGAATGAGGAAGACCCTTGGGGCCCAGGAAAAACACTGTGTGCAGGTGCTGCCCTGCTGAGAGACAAGGTATCTTCACTGGCAGAAGTGTGATAGCCTGGAGTCGGAAAAGAAGGAGGAAATGAGCCTGGAAAGACGACCAGGGCTGAGTGTTGCAATGAGGACTTTTCCTGCTTTGATTTGAACATTTGGTACCTTCTTCCTGGCTTGACTCAGGTGACCTTTCCTCCATCTGCCCAAGCCATTCTTCTGCCATCAAGCAGGCTTCCCAGATTCTACTCCATGTTGATCTCCAGCTCTGTCATCCTGAAGATTCCGCATGGTGGGCAAAGTCATAATTCATAATTGAGACTGCTGGGGAGCTGTGTATCAGGAACTGCTTAGGCTCGTATACCTGAGTCATTGGTGTCCTGATATTTGATAATCTCTTTGAGGAAATGAAGATAAAGCTCTAAAAATATTTTTTTTTTAGTTTTTGGATCTGTACTTTATTTCCCAACCTTCATGAAGTGAACAAAAATCCACTGGTTAATGCAGAGTTGGGAGACCTGGTGTGGTTCTGTTCACAAAGGAATGGCTCTGCTTGAACATGGTCAGGAAGAGGAGAGAGGAGTCGGGTCAAAGTAAAGAGAAGTTGTCAAACTTCTGCCAAAGAAAGGTTTGGCTGTATCAGTCAAGCAGATGCCACCTCTGGGCCACTGCATTGGGAGATTTGGCTGAATCAGGTCCCAAGGAACAGAACCCCCTCAGTCTGGTCTTAAGCTAGAGGCTTGCTCAGTCTTACAGGTGTCGTGACTCAGTATTCAGAGGTAGAAGCTTAGGAAGAGGCTTGATCCAGTGAGCAGAGCACATGAAAAAGTCATATGGTCAGGTTCATGAAAAGAATTTGGGTATGGAATCCTTCAGAAATTTTCTTCCTGAAACATCCATTTGATCAAATGTCTCTGCTTAAGAATCTTCAGAGGCTCTTATTTATAGATATAATAATATCTAAATTCCCTAGCCCAACACTCAAATTTCTCCATGATGTCACTCCCATCAAGTATTTAGGCCATTTACAACTGCTGTTGCTTCCTCGAACTGACCTCTAACCCCTCAGCCTGCTACTTTCTCTGTCTATTCCGTCCTCTTGGTCCCTCCTGTTTCCTGGATTCACAGAGCACATTCATTGTTCTGCTGTTAACAGTTCTCAGTAGTCTCATTTGTGCCCACGTCAACGTCTTTGTCCCTGCCTCTTGGTCCTAATTATGCTTATTCAAGCTTGTGTCCAAAATGACATCTAACCCAGAACTTCAATCTGTGCTTGTTGAAAGTCAGCGGAGTACCTTACAAACCCACTCTAGGACTTGGAGGAAATGCACTGGGATCTTCTGGTCAGGTTCTCAAGAAGGCCACATTTGATGATGGAGGCAGACAGAACCCATTACACAGGCAAGCAGAGCCTTTCTGTTCGTCTCCATCCAGAGTGGGCATGTAAGTCTTTAAGAGCCTATCCCATTGTGGGGACACAGTCACCCATGGCTATAAACATCATGTATATTTTGGTCTAGGAAATATATCTATCTCAGGAGGAATACTTCCGTTGGGTCTGTTTCTGGGAACAGTGGGAATGTGACTGATGTCCAGTTAAAGGCTGAACTCCAAGGGGGAGTGGGCTAATAGCTCCATCTGTTGCTATCTATGGGTTAATTGCTCCATCTGCACTAGGCTTAGTGCTTAGGACAGGACAATGATATCTGACTCAGAGTCCAACTAGGATTCTGACTCAGGACAGAGAAGAATAAAAGGGAAGCATTGTGCCCTATGCTGCAAGGGGTTGGGGGCACTTTGGAAGATCCTGGAAGAGTCGAGTCATTGCAGGATGCTTCAGGCTGCTGTGTCATATAGAAGATGCTCTAGGGACTTCTTCCCTTGGTCTAGCCATCCTAGAATTATTCACTGTGGACCTGCAGTGGACAGAACTGCAGAGTGAGCTGTCTGATTACTCCACTAAAGCTATTGGATCATAGGCTAGGGTAGGTTTCTATTGAGAAGAACCAGAAAGGAGGGGGAAAAACTAGAAAAGAATTGGGGAGTACATAAGGATAGAAAGGGAGTGCTGGGGCTGTGGCATAGTGGGTAATGCTGCCATCTTCAGTGCTGGCATCCCATGTGGTGTTGGTTTGAGTCCTGGTTGCTCCACTTTTGATCCAGCTCTCTTCTAATGCACCTGGGAAAATGAACCAAGTCCTTGTGTTCCTGCATCCATGTGGGAGACCCAGAAGAAGCTTCTGGCTCCTGGCTCCAGCTAGGCCTAGCCCTGACTGTTGTGGCCATTTGGGGAGTGAACAAGCAAATGGAAGATATCTCTCTCGCTGCCTCTGCCATTTCTTCTCTGTAACTTTGACTTTCTAATAAATAAATAAATCTTTAAAGAAGGGTAGAAAAGATTTAATGATACCTCATAAGTACTTAATACCTTTTAAAATTAATTAGATGAATGATTGAATTATTGGAAGCAACTCAGAGAATAGACTGTTCAATAGATGGGAAAGAGACAAACATAAGGAATAGTGACATAATAACGGAGGTGAGTAGAAGTGGATGAGAGGGGAGAATTAAGTGGTAAAATTTAAATGATTAGAAGAACAAGTGCCAGCTCTCAGGGAACTTCTCTCCTTGGTTAGCCATATAATTGCCAGATGTCCAACATCCACACCCCACAGTACACAGTAAAGGGATCCTTCACAAGTCCCTAGGTTCCCCTGGATTGAACCAATCTGCCCATCTGTGACAGCCCTTGAACTAATCACTATGGTTCAGGATGAACTTATTGGGGGTGAATGACAAGTATGGGTCAAAAGTCTCACCATGTGTTCAGTGTATTAGGGGACTTGACATGCCCACAGATGAAGGTTAGTTCCCTGCTCCACCACCATAACTGGGCATGGGACCTTATTAGAAGCATAGAGGAGAATGAGAAGGGAAAAGTGTGCTCTAAGACAAAAGAGAAAAGTTTTTCCATCTCCTTTGCTTAGATAACATCCCTTTGTTCCTTGGGAGAATATTTAGGCATTATTTTCTCTAGGAAACTTCTCCTGGCCTGTTTTCCACTCAATATTAAAGACCCCAGAATATAATCGTTATTCTCCTAACTCTCCCTTCCCGAGTGGGAGCTCCTTCAAGACAGGGACTTTGTCTTGTTTGTCTGTGTCTCGAGCACTGAGTACAGGGCTTGTCATAATTACTGTCTGTGGAATGACTGAGAGGGAACACATGCATGTGCACCTGCAGGGGCATCTGCCTGAACGGGCCATGGCTTCCAGCTCTCAGAGGGGCACAGCTGCACTGCGATGACTGCTTTCCCTGAAACAGGAGCCAGGACCTCCAGGATTGGAGCTAGGCTTGGAACTCCATGCTAGGCACATAGACTTAGAGTGCGAAAGGGGACTTCAACTCCACAGGGATATGTTATGGTCACCCTGAAGTGGTATCCCTAGTGCTGCTATGGTGTTAGACTCCCAGAACTCCTGCACTGTCTCCTTACTTTGGGGTGCCAGAAGGACACAGGGTCACATAGAGTCTTAGGATTCTGCCCCCTCCCATGCATCCTTTCTCCCTATTGTACTATCCCCTCTGGTATCCATGCAGTCTCTCTGCCCCTCATCTTGGCTCTCCTCTTGCCTGACCCTCTAAAGCTTGCACACCACTGCCATAAGAATGGTTCTTAAACACTGATGATCATGTCACCCATTTTATGAAACATCTCAGGGAGTCCTTTAATTTTTCAGCCTGGAGGTAGAGTTCATTATCAGACCACCCTCAGAACTTGCATGCATCTGCATTTCCCACTGCTCACTCTCTTAGACCTGTGCCCAGTCTGTACCCTGCTCTCCCTCTCCATGTGCATTTCTTCCTCCTTGTTGCTCATGCCTTGCCCCTGTCCTCACTCTCCCTTTGATACCCACACCTACTTCTCTCATAGTATTTTATGACCTCATCTACTCACAACCATATTTCCCATCTTTCAACTGCTATATTCCTGGAAAAGGTGAGCTTATATTGTTGTCTGAGGGGATCTTCGTGGAAGTTCATGAAAATGCATCTTATGAAAAAAAAAAAACTCTGTATGGTTTTCAATTCTTTTGCATCAAAATGAACTTACCTTTTAAAATCCATTTCCTATTAGCCCTTTGAGCTATCTTTTTACCACTCAGTTGCTACTTCATCATATACTCTTAATTCTTCCATTATTAGATGATAACACTTCTGCATCCCTCCACAGTACCCAGCAAAGGGCTGAGGATACAGTAAGTGCACAGTAAGTGCTTGTTCAATGAAGAAGTGAAGGGGTGGGGGAATGTGTTGAATAAAAAGGGGCAAATGAGTACTGTGACTCTTGAGGGTCCTTTGGTTTTGTTATAGTTTGGCTGTGAACACTATTTGTCCCTTTTGGCTTGGTAATTCACTTACTGAGCCTTGTTTCCACATTGGTAAACTGAAGATAATCTCACTGGTCCTACAGAGGTCACAGATTGTGGTGAACTCCAAGTGGGAATCCATATAGGCAAGTACTTTGGGAACATGTAAAAGGTAAGCTGTTAGGATTTCTCCATTAATTTTAATCATAAAATATTTTCCTTCTTACTTTTAGACTTGCGACCTTATTTCTCGAAAGAGGGCCCAACAGGATAGGCGGTATTTACAAAAAGGCTGTTTACAGACACTTCACGGATGGCACCTATTCCACGGAGATCCCCAAACCCTCGTGGCTCGGATTCCTGGGCCCCATTTTGAGGGCTGAAGTAGGTGATGTGATTGTCATTCATTTAAGGAACTTTGCTTCCCGACCTTACTCTTTGCACCCGCATGGCGTTTTCTACAACAAAGATTCAGAAGGTAAATATTCATCCTTTACTATTGGCATTTTCTCTTTAGTTCATAAGTAGGGTAACTGCAGTTACATGTCCAGGGACTGTAAGACCTTGTGATTACAGATGTTCTTGTGTTTTCTTCTTCTCTTCCCTTCAATGTCTCTCTTCTTTCTTCTCTTCCTGTTTTGTTCCCTTATTTCCTTCCTCCCATCCTTGTTACTCTTATGTTGACACTGAACTGGGTGCTGGGTTCCCTTGGCCCCTGTCCCACCATACCCCCAGGAGCATCCTTGCTTTCTTCCCAGTTATTCTGTCCTGCTGTCCTGGTAGCACACTGGGTGCAGAGCTGTGTGTTCCTGTCAACACCCATCCAGGTCATGTTCTGGGTAGGATTAACTCAGTACAAGGGGATCTTCACTGTCCTGCACCAGGCTTCTGTCTTGGGTGCTTCCTTTGTCTTCTTGTGTGTGCTATGGGAGTTTCAACAGAGTAGCTTCTGAAGATTCCTCTTGAATATGTATATTTTAATTTAAATAACATTCTTAAACTTTTGAGTTAGAAATGTTTCTTAGACACCAGAAGAAGTTTTTGCACTTCTCATTGCATTTTTATTAAAAGCATTTTGTTGAAATACTGTATACATACCAAGAAATGCACATAAGTGTACAGACAAATGGGATTTTTTTTTTTGGTCACCTGATCACACTCATGCCCAAGACTCAAATTAAGAACAAAGCATTACTAGTACCCCAACAGTCCTTACTCTTCTCCTCTCTCCATTTCTTTTGTTCCTTTTTTATTAACATGTGGAAGAAGAGCATATTGTCATTTACAGGGTAGCATTCCTGCTCATGACCAGGTAGAATGGATTGGATGGTGCTATACCTGCTACGCCACTGCCTCTGGGGGAATGTGGCAGCACTCCACCATCTGCTTTGATGCAACACACCTTGCTATCATCAGGGAAGAGCTTCTGGGTATTAACAAATGTCCCATGGCACCCAAACTTGCTTGACAGTTGCTTCAGCAAGGTGTGCATAAGCAGCCAGAAGAAGGAACCCTGATGATGAACACAAAATTGAATTTTCCCTTGTTCTTGGATCTTTTCCCCAAACTGAAGTACAGCAAAGATTTAGCACTTCTTAGTTACTGAGCATGCACACATAAAATTGTGCTGGCTAAACTTTAAGTTGAAATTTTGCAAATAAAAGGGATCATTACTGATGTATCTTTCTTTATTATGGTTTTGTAAAAGTATTACTTATACTACAGGTAGAAAATGAAGATACAAAATAGATATGCCTGTCTTTTTACACAAGGAGATAATAGAGCTGTTTTGAAGTCTTTAATTTTTTTTATTCAGTACTCCACTTGTCTCTGGAAAACATATTGTGATAGAGTGAAGGTGTGCTGAGAGATCATTTAGGCTAGTGATTATTTTTGTGTTCTTACTTATTTTTAATTTTAATTAGATTTTAACAATTTCAATATATATTGTACATACAGTTCTAAGAATATAATGGTTGCCCTTCCTCCCTCCCACCTTGCCTCCTACCCCTTCCTCCATTCCTTCCTTCCTTCTTTCTTTTTTTAACTTTATTTAATAAATATAAATTTCCAAAGTACAGTTTATGCATTACAATGGCTTCCCCCCATAACTTCCCTCCCATCCGCATCCTTCCTTCTTTTTTTCCTTTTGTTTTTGAGATAACATAGTTTAAGTTTACATTACAATAAAAAGGTTTAATGCTTCACCAACTGAGAAATTTCACAAGTAAAAAGCAAAAAGACCCTAGTTTAGTGGGAATATAGACAATGGCTATAAACAATAATTGAATAGAAAAATGACCCTTTCACCCATATACGGTTAATTTTAAAGTAATCACAAGTCATTAAAATTATAGTAGTATCACAGTCATAACCATTAGTTTAGCAAAGATATAAAGCAAAGTTTTACAAAGCCTCATGGGGCCATGGGTCCTTTTAAAAAATTTTGTGGTAAAAATATATAACATAAAGTTTACCATTTGAACTGTAATCCAGGGTATAACCCAGTGGCATTAATTACAGTCACAATGGTATACAACTATTGCCACTGTTCATCTCCAGAACTGTTTCATCACTCAAAGAGAAATCCTGTATCAATGAAACAATACCCTCTCCCCTTCCCCTCAGCCTCTGGTAACCTCTATTCTACTTTCTCTATGTCCCTGAACTTGCCTGTTGTAAGTAGCCATGTAACCAGAACCATACAATATCTATCGTCTTGTATATGGTTTATGACAGCATAGCATTTTCAAGGTTCATTCCTGTTGCAGCATCTGTCATTCTTTTCTACAGCTGAAAATGCCTCATTTTCAATATGTACAAGATTTTGCCTATGCATTTGTCTCTTGATAGATTCTTGGGTTGCTTCCACTCTTAACTATTACAAATGATGCTAATGTAGACATTGGTATACCACAGATCCTTCTCAGCACTCATGAAAGCAAGGAGGCCTCCCACAAGAAAAACACGTGTGTGCTCAAAATTTGGAATTTAAGGAGTTCTCAGAGCCCCTGAAATATCCATGGGTCTTTAAAATCAAAACTCTTTAATATCACTTACCCAGGAAGCCGTCTCTATTCCTGGCCTTACGTAGGTCTCTCCCACATTAGGAGTCTCTTGGTTTATCTCACAGTACTTAGCAAAGCTTGCACAGTAAGCATGCATCCTTGTATCTACCTGTTTCTTAGAACATAGGTGTCTAGTGAGCAGAGATTATCCTGGACTGTGCGAATCACTGTCCCCAGTGCCTGGCTCAGGGCTTGGCTTTGTGGTAAGTGCTCTTTCAACACGTTGAATGTATCCAAGATCTATGCTAAAATCATCATTTTATAAGTGAAAAATCAAGACCAAATTTTTGCTGCTGGTTGGGATCTGAGTTATAATGGACACGGACTGTCTGCCACATTCTATTCCCCATTCCAGGGCACTACCACCACTCCATACTGCTCCTTTGCCCTCTCCTTCCTGTGTGCAAATCTCAGCAAGGTGTATTGAAGCTTGGATTCTTAACTGTCCTGAGTCTTTCAGAGGGCTCTTGGGAAAGTGCAGAGCAGTGGTCGGATCCTTGCTTCATGTGATTTAGGGACCTTGATTCTCTTTAATATTCTCTCTCTCTCTCTGTCTCTCTCTCTCTCTATATATATATGTATATATATATAAACATTAAATTTTATTAACAAAAACTTTGTATATTTTCTTTTAATACGTGTGGAATTTTACATCTAGATAAAATTACAACACATTCAAAATTTACCATTTATACAAATTGTTACAGAATAAATAACAACCACTGGGTTAAATAAGTAAAGTAAACCACATTGATATTTTAAAATTACCTACAAAAGATTTGACTTTCTTCAAAATTCCCCAGAGCACAAAAAATAAATTAATTTTACTTTTCAATTAAATCTACCAATTGGAAGTATTATAAATCAAAATATCAATGTTACAAACTTTTCACAATACAAAACAGATTCACAAAACCTTATCTACAGAAATGAGTTAAGGACTGTGCAATGTTTAACCAAGAGACATGTTGCAGAATTAACATGTTCTTCCAGCTAAGTACACAGTGGAGGTCTAATTATAGCCAGGTCTTTTCCACTAATAATTTATACCTTTAAGAACTGTTCAATGATTATATCCCCAATTCTTTTTTTTTTACTTTTATCAAGTAGATATAAATTTCGAAAAGTACAGTTTATGGATTACAATGGCTTCCCCCCCATAACTTCCCTCCCACCTGCAACCCTCCCATCTCCTGTTCCCTCTCCCATCCCATTCACATCAAGATTCATTTTCAATTATCTTTATATACAGAAGATCAATTTAGTATATATTAAGTAAAGATTTCATCAGTTTGCATCCACACAGAACATAAAGTGTAAAGTACTGTTTCAGTACTAGTTATAGCATTAATTCACATTGAACAACACATTAAGGACAGAGATCCTACATGAGGAGTAAGTACACAGTGACTCCTGTTGTTGACTTAACAATTGGACACTCTTGTTTATGGCATCAGTAATCTCCCTAGGCTCTAGTCATGAGTTGCCAAGGCTATGGAAGCCTTTTGAGTTCGCCCACTTTGATCTTATTTAGACAAGGTCATAGTCAAAGTGGAAGTTCACTCCTCTCTTCAGAGAAAGGTACCTCCTTCTTTGATGACCCGTTCTTTCCACTGGGATCTCACTCGCAGAGATCTTTCATTTAGGTGGTCCCCCCCACCCCAGAGTGTCTTGGCTTTCCATGCCTGAAATACTCTCATGGGCTCTTCAGCCAGATCTGAATGCCTTAAGGGCTGATTCTGAGGCCAGAGTGCTATTTAGGACATCTGCCATTCTGAGTCTGCTGTGTATCCCACTTCCCATGTTGGATCATTTTCTCCCTTTTTGATTCTATCAGTTAGTATTTGTAGACACTAGTCTTGTTTATGTGATCCCTTTGACTCTTAGACCTATCATTATAATCAATTGTGAACTGAAATTGACCACTTGGACTAGTGAGATGGCATTGGTACATACAACCTTGATGAACATCCCCAATTCTTTAATTTACTCCTCTGCCGTATATTACATCAAGATAATCTCTTTTATTCACCACTAATGTATTTTTTAAATGTTTGCATTCATTCATAAATCTGCCATTTAGTACTCAATAGGACTAGAGATTGATCCTGGGTGCTGGAAATAATAGATGAATGAATGAATCATAGTCTACAGTCACTGATGGATGAGCATAAGTATAAGGGGTTTGTTATAGAGCTCAATTCTCTTTTGTTGATCTATGTTTATCCATGCACCAATGCCACACTGTGTTGGTTACTGTGGACTTACCACATGTTTTGGAATTAAGTAGTATAAATCTTATAACTTTATTCTTCTCTTTAAGATTTTTGGTTATTGTACATCCTTTGTATTTATACATGAATTTTATATATAATTGGTAATTTTTTAAAAGAAAGAAAAGCTAGCTGGG